CCTTCCCCCCTCCTCCCCCACACGACTTTCTGTACCTAAACCACTACCCCATTTAGTCCCTCCTTCTCCCCCCTTCCCTTCCCTCCTCCGACTACCGTTACCTCCAATCACTGTCACCCACCCACCAGTTGCCCAGGAATGTCAAGAATGATAAATAACTCTGGAGAAAACAAAGAAATACAGCTGGAAGTGTTTGCATGTGAACTGTTCATCATTGCTAGTCAAAAAGAAACATGAGTATCCACTCTGAATGGATGGCAAAAGCAAACAATATTGTGGATAAACATCATGAAACTAAAGAAGTGATTTCCGTCATTTCTTGATCACGCAGTTATATTTAACAAATAAAGCAACTGTAACGAAAAGACTACATAAAAAATCTAATAAAACTGGCAGAATTATTCGCATTGTGCAAGCGCCCCATGCAGATCAACAACTGTTCACATTCTACTTCAAATTCCTTACGCTCGCACGGCGGCAAGGGCGTTGCCTGCCCAGATTCACCGCGCAGACTTCCGCATATGGGCCATATCTTTCTAAGCCACATTCAAGATATCCAGTGAAGTAAATCATATCACTAACCCATTGCTGATCTGAAATCTGATATATTTATCACTGCGATTTATCGCCACCGGCAGTGTACCACAACACTCGATGAACTAAAGCAGTTGTCTTAATATGAAGTTATTACAAGTGTCGCAGTGAAAAAGGGCCTGCATGAATTTATTTGCCTATTTATTTCCAGGATGGCTCAAGCTGAGATATAAGATACCGCAAATTCAATCATACATGGTTTTAATCCAGTTCCTAAATTCTTGAAAAATCTGTTTGAGTGATTACCTAAATCGAACTGAATGATCAAATCGTTTGTTTTCGAATCTTCGCATTCACGTGAATGAATCCATGACCATCCATCTGCTTCCCCGTTTTCCACCATTGAACGCAAATAGTAAAGTATGTGAAAGATCTAAAACTCAGAGGAAATACTATTTTCGTCTTAATAAAACGATTTTCCTATCCCAGCACTGCAAAGCTGCGCAATATGGAAGCATTTGCCCCGCCACCAACACATTAATAACATGCAATTATCCACCATTAAAAGTATAACTGTCTGAAAGAGCCAGGAGCAGAGGCAAACAATTCACACAGTCTTCAAAAAATTTTGCCTTCCCCTAAGACTCTCCAAACTTATGGTATACTACAGCTCCTTCAAAAATAAGGAAAAAGTTATCCGTGCCGAAGCCTCTTCCTAGAATATTGTCCCAGTGTCCACTGGCATTGGCTCAGTGAAGGTCAAGAATCGCTGAAAAATGAAATGACGTCCAATGAAATCACTGTTTCATACCGAACATCCGTAATTCTCCTCCGCTGTCTAATTTATCGGTTTGATGAAAGCAAAGTGAATGTATAAAAAAACAAGGGGAATGGCATAGAATTTTGTGAACTGAATGCTCACCTTTCGAATGACCTGACTCAAATTTCAGCCAGTGACATGAAATCAGTGCTGGGGACACAAGCAGGCTGGGGGCAATGATGCATCCTTGATCATAACTGCCACAAATAAATCGCTACGGGTCCCGATGATGAAATGAAACTACGGCTAATCGAAATACAAAAGTCACACAATTCTCTGAAGCACCGCTGCTAAATAGTGGGTGTGGACATAGAGGAATCCGACTTGCATTTTGTTTTATTACCGCAACATTTAAATGGGGTTGCTCGATTAAATGGAAAAGGGTATTAGCTGTACCCGCAGATTACGCACACTGTTCAACCAGAAAACTTTTCATGGCTAAACAGTTCCATCTGCGAGATGAAGGTTATCAGATGAATCTCACAACTATGCGCAGAATCGACAATGGTCGTAAAAGACGTGGGATGGAAGCAAAGGAGAGGTAGATGAGGACGGGAGGGAAAATGGAAGGAAATGTAGCTGTTTTAAAATACTGCACTCCAGTCAGTAATGGTTATAAAGGAAATATGACTACCCAAGCAAATCCGAAGAGCTGAGGGCATAGGAGTGATTAATCGTATCAATTAACAACGAACCTGTTTCATGAAACTGTTGCCTTCATAATAAATGCAGAGTTTGACGCGCCTGTTGGCTAGCACATCTGCAGAAAAGCTAACTTGATTTTATATAGTTTCGAGGCTGAGGACAATGATAAAGCTTAGCTGAAAGGGAAGTGAGAAAACGTTGGTGAACCAACCGCACTTCTGTATGGATCCACAAGGATAAGGAAAGCTCAAAACCGGAAATGAGAAGCTAAAAATTAGGCCGCTGCCGAATACAAGGAACAATGATGAAACATCAACAGCAAATTATTGAAAGATCTATCTGAGGGTTGGAGTTTTGTAAAATATTTCTTCAAATTTATTACCAACCACCGGCCGGCATGACGCAGCAGGAAGCAGCTCTACTCATGGGCAGAAGACCACGGATTGACTCTGCCGGCCCAAATAAATCCTCCGAAGACGTTTCTGCTGGCTGTGCGTTTTGCCACTCGGCCTAGTTCCCAGCATCTCTGCATGCTAGAGAGAGTGAACTCAGAGGAGGACCGATTTCTGATTTACCACTAACAACAACTGTTTGAAAAGTTATGAATCGAATCTTCTTCCTGCCGGAAAAAAATAATTATCTCAGTTTGCTAGAGAAATGAGTGGACCTTCGGGACTGTTGACTTTTTCGATTTTGAGACGCGGGATGCGCAGACCCGGATAGATCTTCATTTTCGGTAAGGGCATCGGGTGATACCTTTCATGACGCACGCTGTGCATCGATTCGTAACGAGGAATACGAATCACAGTGTCCTAAAATAGAAAGCACTACACATAGTCATGGTTCATTCGAAAACCTGTACTGAATGGCTATCAAAAGTGTGAGCATGAATTGCTAGCAAGCGCATAAACTAGTCCAATGTTTATCAGCTAGATAGTGCAGCTACTAAATCTTGCTTGCTCTGACTGTTTAGTCATTTCTTCCATTCAATAACACCGATGTAGCCAACACTATCCATCCACACAGTGCACTGCGCATCATGCAAATAACAACCGAAGTTAGTGCCTAACATTTCTTAATGTTTAGAACGACTGAATCTTTTCCAAGTGTTACAATCTTAAAAAAATACCCGTTTCTTTTTTTGCAAAACAATCCAAAAAATTGGCCAACGCACGGGCTGCCCGTGCGAAGATGCGTTTTTTGCAGAGTTCCCCGCA